GGTGCCCAAAACTGGACACGGTACTCCAGGTGAGGCCTGACCAGAGCAGAATAGAGCGGAACGACCACCTCCCGTGATCTGGACACAATCAGATGACCACTTCTCACGAGAGGAATGTCCCGGCTTCCTGTGAGGCTGCTCTAACCACAGGGCAAGCCAGCCGTTGCTCTCTTCCTGCCGCCCCATCGGCCACTCCCCCTAAGCATTTGAGCACCTGGCAAAGCATGTTCCTCGGCCCAAAGGTCTCTCCGCTCTGCTGCCATTTCCTTGCAGCATCTTAAAAATGTAGGCCAGGAAACGCGACGCAGGGGTGTGGATAGTTTTGTGTTCTCTGTGGTTGCCCTGCCAGCGTGGCCCCTCCCTCCTTTTGCTTTAGGAGGACCACAAAACGCACACACACCCCGGCATGTGTTCAGCGCGAGGAGCGTTTTAACTGCTGGTTTTGCACCGCTAAGCTTTTTTTTTTTTGCTCTTGCAAAGGTTATGGAATGGATCCCATTGCAATACGCTGGCTTGATTTACTAAACTGCCAGATTTGTTCATGACCCCAAAGTGGTTTACCCATTCTTTATCTGCACCCCTCCCCGTTCTGCGATGCAAAATGCTTCTAAAATTGGGGGAGTGTTGAAAGCTGTTTGGCACCGGATATGGAGGGGGGGTGTTTGTGAGAAAGAGAAAGCTATGCAAAGCTAAAAATTCAAATTCCAAGCCGCTCTCTGCATCCTGCTGTTTAATTTTGAATTGTGGAGTTACCTGGAGGATTTTTTGCCAATTTGAAACGAAATTGGAAGACAGCCAGTGTGGTGTAGTGTTTTTTTTAGAGCGTCGGACTAGTAGTATCTGGTAGGCCCAGGTTCGAATCCCTACTCATGCCATGGAAACTTGCCGAGTGGCCTTGGGCCAGTCACATTCTCTCGGCCTAACTTACCTCGCAGGGTTGTTGTGATGATTAAACCGGGGAGAGGAGAAGGCTGTAAGCGATCTCGGGTCCCCGTTGCGGAGAAAGGCACGGCGCGAATGAAGTAAACAGATAAATGGGTGTATAAATATTGCAGTCGGCAACTGAATCAGCCTGTCGTTTCCTGAGTTTCACTTGCAGCGGCCTTCCCAGAATTCACCTGTCCAGCTGCCGCCTCCTTCCTCCAGGGTGTGGGGCCGGCCGTACAGGCTTGGGGGCAGGTCCACCTTCCCCCTGTGATGTAGGGAGTAGGCGTAGCTTAGTGGAAGCCGGTCTGGGGGGGGGGGATCCAGGGAGCTGCCAGTCCAGAGAACTCACTGGGGCTGTTCCCACATGGCTGTTTCCCTCCCCCTGGGTTTCCTTACTGCAGCACTGTGTCTCCCCTCGTGATGTTCTCCTCTGTTTGCCCTGCAGATGTGCATCCTTACACATCCCAGCCACACCAGTGCCCTCGTCATTACATCACTCCCAGAGGCTGCCGTTTCCCATCCCGCACACCCCGGAGGGCTCCCCCCCCCCGTGTAATGCTATATCACTATAGCCTTAACATTATCTATTGCAGCTAGGCACTGGTTTCCAGTTTCCTTTTTTTGCAAAGTAAATCTCCATCCCTTTATGCTGCATAATTATAAGGAGAAACTTAGCGGCTGCACATTTCTCCTTATAACTCCACAGCAAAAAGGGCTAGAACCAGGGGTCATTTCCTGCAGGAGCGCACAGGAGCAGAGCTCCGGCACTAAGGAGCTCAGGGGGCGGGCATATGCAACAAGCCCCACCCCCTGCTCCCAGCAGCCCTCAGTCAGAGCAAGAAGCAGCCAGGTAAGCTGCAGAACTCCCCCCGGCCCCCCGGTCCAAGACAGTCCAGTGGCACCTTTAAGACCAAGTTTTATTCAGGTACAAGCTCTCCCTCCTCTGTGAGGACAGATCTGCACGTTCTCTCCCCCCCCCCAAATAGCTAGCAATCCAAAACAGTCCAGCAGAGCCTGAACGGTGGGTGTTGCCTTCTGACACACTTCCGGTGATGCCAGGGGGTGTGGCATATGCAAATGAGTTATGCTAATGAGCTCCTGCACCTCTTTTTCTATGAAATGACCCCTGGCTAGAACCAACGTTCTAAAAAAACGAAAGCTGCAGACTAGGATATTATTGCAAGATGTTAGTATAGAAGTATAGTAAACTAGCTTACTACTTTTTTAAAAAGGAAAATCCCCCCCAATGGCGGCAGTGGGGAATGGCGGCCATTCAGGGCTAAGGAACGGAAATGTGGTAAAGCCTCAGGTGGATGCTCTCTTGCCACTTTTGTTGCCTCTGTGTTTGTGACAATTCGAGAATCATCTCGGTGTGGGAGCTGCCCAGGTGACCCCAGGGTGAGCCCCTCTCCCAGCCTCAGACCCCTATCTGCGCTATGGGGCAACAGAACCAACCTGCTTGTTTACTGTATTTACACCCCACCTCCAGGGGTCATTTCGTAAAAAAAGAGGTCCAGGAGCTCATTAGCATAACTCATTAGCATAACTTATTTGCATATGCCACACCCCCTGACATCACCGGAAGTGTGTCAGAAGGCAACACCCACCGCTCAGGCTCCACTGGAAGTTTTGGATTGCTAGCTATTTGAGGGGAGGGGGAGAACGTGCAGATCTGTCGACACACTGCACTGCAAGGGAAGGTTTGGTGTCGTGGTTAAGTGCGCGGACTCTAATCTGTGAGAACCGGGTTTGATCCCCCACTCCTCCACATGCAGCTGCTGACGTGACCTTGGGTCAGTCACAAGTTCTTTCAGAGCTGTTCTCTCAAGAGCAGTCCTCGAAAGAGCTCTCTCAGCCCCGCCTGCCTCACAAGGGTGTCTGTTGTGGGGAGGAGAAGGGAAAGGAGATAGTGAGCCGCTCTGAGATTCCTTCGCTGTATAAATCCAATCTCCTCCTCCTCCTCTCCTCCTCCTCCTTCTTTTCTCCTCCTCCTCCTCCTCCTCCTTTGGAACAGCAGTACAGAATCCCACCCAGTTTGTTTGTGGAAAGGGCTTTGTACCAAGAAAGAGCTTTATAGGTGCTGGGCTGTGCTCATAAAACTAACAGGCTTGTCACTTTCCTTTCTCTGCAGAAAATCACCAACCATATTTTGGGAAGAAAAGTACCCTGGGAATGATGTCGGACCCGTCCCCCTCCCTCCCAGCCTCCTGTGTCAATAAAGTCTGTGACATACAACAGAAATTTTCAACCCTCTTCCTGTGTAAGCAGAAATCTCTGTGAACAGAATACTAAAGGCAGGTTTCCAGTTATGCAAAACAGGTTTCATAAATTTCAGTTTGCATTCCGGCGTGCCCTTCTAGTTAACACGATGTGGCTGTTTTTCGTGTATTTGAAAACCAGTGATTTCATGCAGATTAAAAAAAAAAAGTAACTGATAAACTGTTTTCAATAGCGTGCCTCTCTGGCCCAGAGGAAGACAGCTTTTTTTTTTAAAAAAGCACAACAATTTTTAAAACAAAATATAAATTCTAAATCAGTGGCTTGTGTGTAGCATTTTTTTTAAGTATTTATTTTTTGATACTTGAATCTGGGGAGTTTTTGTACTGTTTCTAGCGAAAAAACCTTTGTGTGTTTGTTTTTTGTTTCTGCTGGAGAAGAAAAATTAAATGTCTTGAAAGCCTGTAATGCTGTGCTTTTTTCCTTCTGGTGTTGACTGCAGGGGCACTCGGCCGATGTCTTTCTGGTTCCCAGTGTCTGGATTATAATCTGTGCCGCTTTAGTCAATTGCCCCTTCCTCCACTTAAGGTCGTCTTCCACTGTGTGACTTGCCCCGACTCAGGAGACGTATCTATCAACTCTCTGGTGTGGTTCTTCACAATTCCCTTTGAGGCCTGTTCAGGGGTCATTTAGCAGAAAAAGAGCTAGGGGAACTCATTAGCACAACTCATTAGCATATGCCACACCCCCTGACCTCAGGGGCCCGGCGGTGGACCTGCAAGGCCAGCGGGAGTGCGAGGAAGCCCCGCCAAGGCCCTCCCTGGCCCCAGGCAGGCATGGGTGGGGAGAGGCGGGGAGGAAGCAACTTACCCTCCCTCTTTTCCTGCCTCCTCCTGGCTAAATGAGGGCCGGAAGCGGGGCGGCCGGAAGCATGGGGCGGGGCTTCGTCATGTGCCCCGCCCCCCTGTACCTCACCCGGGGGAACTGCGTTCCCCCGCGATCCCCTCCCCGAAATGACCTCTGGGCCTGTTCCTGGGTTTTCCCTTGTCTGCAGTTTCCGTCATATGTACGAAGCTGCCTTATATCTATTTGCTTTATTTACAAACTTCGTATCCTGCCTTTCTGACCATACATGGGTCATAAGAACATAAGAAGAGCCCTGCTGGATCAGACCCGTAGTCCACCACGAAAGCTCCTCCCCTGCCACGAATTCTGTTAGCCTTGGAAGGTGCTACTGGACTCTTGCTCTTTTCTACAGCTACAGACAGACTGACACGGCTTCCAGACCCGTAGTCAGGTTTGGGGTTTTTTTTCCGGGTGGCATTTAAATTTTTAAGGGGGCAGTTAAATTACATTAGTTGTCGTAGATTTTCCGGGCCGTATGGCCATGGGTCTTGGCATTGTGGTCCCTGACGTTTCGCCAGCAGCTGTGACTGGCATCCTCAGAGGTGTAATACAGAAAGATGGAGTACTCTCTGTGTCAAGGTGGGAAGACAAATGGTAGGCAGGTAATTTATTCCTACTCGGGAAGGTGGGGTAGGGCTGAGTCATTATCTTGTAGGAGTCCCCCAGGCTACAAGATAATGACTTAGCCCTACCCAACCTTCCTGAGTAGATATTAATGACCGGCCTACCATTTTTCTTCTCACCTTGACACAGAGAGGACTCCATCTTTCTATGGTATACCTCTGAGGATGCCAGTCACAGCTACTGGTGAAATGTCAGGGACCAGAATGCCAAGACGCACGGCCACACAGCCCGGAAAATCTACAACAACTAATGAACTCTGGCCGTGAAAGCCTTCGACAACATAAGTTAAATTGCAGTTAAATCAAATTAATCTGCATGCCTGTCTTTAAAGGGGGAGGCCCCGAGCCTGTTTCTAGCCCTTCCTTTCGAGGGGCAGGGCAGCAAATTTGACAGTTCCTGGGACAAAACAGCTCAGAAGACATTTAAACGCCTTTTGAATTTTGCATTTCCCCCCCCAAAGGCTCATGGGAAGGCATGTTTCCCAGAGGCTCATGGGAATGCTTTTGAAAGACTCGCCGCATGACCTAGGTGGTCTACAGCAGGACCGGGCTAGGAGAAAGGGGGATTGCTGAAGATGTATTGAAGGTGCCACTCTTGAGGGCCCTCCTCAGCTTTCTTGCCCTGCGGAAGGGAACTCAGAAGGCATTTAAATCTTTTCCCAGGTCCCATGATGGCCCCCCCCCCCAAGAATTCCACAGTGGGAGGGAGAGGAACGCCTAAGATTTCTCCACACACACGCATGCACATTAAAAAAATACACACACACACCCCAAAAAGAGAAGGTTTCTGGTATGGCAATTTGTGGGGCATGGCTTTTAATAAGGGGGCGGGCCCCAAAATGCCCCACTGTAGCTATGGGCCTGACAGCTCCCCATCTTGAAGAAGTGAGCCGTGACTCACGAAAGCTCCTCCCCTGCCGCAAATTCTGTTAGTCTTGAAGGTGCTCCTGGACTCTGGCTCTTTTCTGCGGCTACAGACAGACTTGCACGGCTGCCCATCTTGATCTACCTCACAGGGTTAGAACATAAGAACATAAGAACATAAGAGATGCCAATGTTGGATCAGGCCAAAGGCCCATCCAGTCCAACACTCTGTATCCCACACTGGCCAGAAATACCAGTGCCATCAGGAGGTCCACCAGTGGGGCCAGGACATTAGAAGCCATCCCACTGTTGACCCCCCCCCCCAAGCACCAAGATGACAGAGCATCACTTGCCCCAGAGCCCCTATCTATACCTTGTGGCTAATAGCCACTGTTGGACCTCTGCTCCATATGCTTATCTAATTCCCTTTTGAAGCCGTCCATGCTTGTAGCCGCCACCACTTCCTGTAGCAGTGAATTCCAAGTGTTAATCACTCTTTGGGTGAAGAAGGACTTCCTTTTATCCGTTCTAACCCGACCGCTCAGCAATTTCATGGAGTGCCCACGAGTTCTTGTATTGTGAGAAAGGGAGAAAAGTGAGGATAAAACAGAGGAGAAGAGAAGGATGTGAGCCACTTTGGGGTCCCCCCCTGGAGTGAAAGACGGAGTATAAATAAAGGAAATGACTAAACATGAGGAGGCTACTGTGCTTAAACATGGTAAGGACAGCAAGAAATTTGAAAAACTGCCATCGTACAGCTTTAACTGAGAGATCAGAATCCGTCTCCACCCACAGGATGAGAGCGTCTTAGTCATCCGTGAGGAGATGGGGTGATAAACCCTGTATCTGCTCTCTCTCTCTACACCCCTTTCCAGCCGGAGTGCCTGCTTTACCCACAGAGGATGTGGGCTAAACTTACAAACAAGTCAAAGCTGGGGAAGCCGTGAGTTCTGCAAACCGTCAGAGATTCTTGGCCTAAATTCTTAGAGTTACAAAGTCGTGGCTGTACGCCTTGCTCTCCTTGTACATTCGTCCCCCAAACTGAGCTCCTCCTAATCCGTTGTGCCGGATATAAGATTGTAGAGTTTTTAAAAAGGATAGGCGCACGGGGGGTGAGCAGCACATCTGGAAGCCCGATACTTGGTTTTAGTGCCTGCACTAACTGAGTCACTTCGGTGGGTGTGGCGCAACTGAATGCTTGGTGGATGTCAGAACAGAAGTATGGTCCTGTTTTATCAGCAGGATTTTCTTTTGCACAATGGACAGCCAGTTGCCTTGGAGGGCCAGCAAACGGGGCATAGAGGGCAAGGCCTTCCTCCAGTGATTCCCCCCACCTTGGCGCTAAGGTCAGAAGCTTGCCGCTTCTCACTATGGTTAGTAACTTGAAATCGGTCTTAACCCCTTTCTGTAGCCGTGTGTAAGAACATAAGAGAAGCCAATGTTGGGTCAGGTCAATGGCCCATCCAGTGCAACACTCTGGCTCACACAGTGGCCAAAAACACCAGGGGCCACCAGGAGGTCCAGCAGTGGGGCCAGGACACTAGAAGCCCTCCCACTGTTGCCCCCCCCCCCAAGCACCCAGAATACAGAGCATCCCTTGCCCCAGACTGTGAGTTCCTATCTAGATCTTGTGGCTAATAGCCACCGATGGACCTCTGCTCCAGATGCTTATCCGATTCCCTCTTATAAGAATATAAAATAAGCCAATGTTGGGTCAGGCCAATGGCCCATCCAGTCCAGCACTCTGTCACACAGTGGCCAGAAATACCAGGGGCCCTCAGGAGGTCCAGCAGTGGGGCCAGGACACTAGAAGCCCTCCCACTGTTGCCCCCCCCAAGCACCCAGAATACAGAGCATCACTTGCCCCAGACTGAGAGTTCCTATCTAGACCTTGTGGCTAATAGCCACCGATGGACCTCTGCTCCAGATGCTTATCCGATTCCCTCTTATACGAACATAAGAGAAGCCAAGGTTGGGTCAGGCCAATGGCCCATCCAGTCCAACACTCTGTCACACAGTGGCCAGAAATACCAGGTGCCATCAGGAGGTCCAGCAGTGGGGTCAGAGCTCCAGAAGCTCTCCCACTGTTGCCCCCGCCCCCAAGCACCAAGAATACAGAGCATCCCTTGCCCCAGACTGAGAGTCCCTATCTATACCTTGTGGCTCATAGCCACTGATGGACCTCTGCTCCATATGCCCATGGCCCATCCAGTCCAACACTCTGTCACACAATGGCCAGAAATACCAGGGGCCCTCAGGAGGTCCAGCAGTGGGGTCAGAGCTCCAGAAGCTCTCCCACTGTTGCCCCCGCCCCCAAGCACCAAGAATACAGAACATCACTTGCCCCAGACCGAGAGTTCCTGTCTATGCTTTGTGGCTAATAGCCACTGATGGACCTCTGCTCGTAGCCGCCGCCACCTCCTGTGGCAGGGAGTTCCGGGTGGCCAGACGTGTTGGTCTGAAGCAGTAGAACAAATTTAGAGTCCGGTGGCACCTTTAAGACCAACAAAGGTTTATTCGAGGCACGAGCTTTCGTGTGCTTGCCCGCTTTCTAAAGTACATTGGAATGGAAGGTGAGAGTTCAGTCTTATAGACAGGGGCTGAGCAGCAAATTAGCCTGTATGTTTGCTATCACCACGTCCACTGGCAGCGGATTCCACAATTTTAATGTCTTGTTGAGCGAAGTAGTTATTTCCCTTTCGTCCGCCCTGATCCTATTTCCGTCAGCTTCATTATGTTCCCCAAGGGGTGTAGCATTAACGGAGAGG